AATAACCGACTCTAAATGTAGATAGAGTCGTGCTCTCTCTCTCTCTCTCTCTCTCTCTCTCTCTCTGCTGGTATTTATTACTAATATGGAAAACGCTGCACTTCAAAGGTTCGTCTGATATCCTGCACTCGTCTGTGTAACAGCGCTCAGGATCAGATGACGAACTGAGATGAGAGCCTGTCTGCCAGCCGGAGTGGATCCTCCGCATCCCTCACAACACAGCCTGTCAGCCGTGATCAGGGTTAAGGCTGGTGTGGGCTGCTCAACATTAAGGCCACAGTAAAGCGAGGGATGAAGAGATGAGAAGAGAAATAAAAGAATGAAAACTGATATATGAAGTGCTAGAGACACATTCTTGCTTGCGGGTCTTCTGTGGATTACGCTGCTTTTTCTTTGTTGTTTTCGACGATATGCTGGCCAGTGAAAACATCAGAACATGTAATATTTCTTATGTTTAAATGTCTGGAGGAATATTATAAGAACCGACTTATTTCTAGACTTTCTTGCTTATTTTGAGTCACACAGAGCGTTAAGAATCTATTAGGTCTGCAAAAAAACAGCTATTTTGATTCTTCATGTTAATTAACTGGACAAAAATTATTAATTGGCTTGAATGTGAAGAGCTGTCACAATAAAGATGTTTGGCAATGTTTTTACGAACTGAGGTTCTGTTTGTCATGAGCTAAATTGCTGCCAGGGGAAAAAACCTGCGGCACTTTGTTTTAAGCCATAATTCTGAGCTATATTTAATAACTACAATGGCGATTTTCATGTAAAAACTTTTCAGTTGGCTTGATAAAGCTGTTGCCATGGTATCCCAGGTGGTTGCTAAGGTGTTGCCAAGCAGGTGTTACGGTGTCCAAAGTGTTTCTAAGGTGTTGCTAGGCTGTTGCCATGGTATCCCAGGTGATTGCTAAGGTGTTGCTAAGCAGGTGTTACGGTGTCCAAAGTGTTTCTAAGGTGTTGCTAGGAAGTTGCTATGGTATCCCAAGTGGTTGCTAAGGTGCTGTTAAGCAGATGTTATGGTGTACAAAGTGTTTCTAAGGTGTAGCTAGGCCGTTGCTATGATATCGCAGGTGGTTGCTAAAGTGTTGCTAAGCAGGTTCTACAGTTTTCGAAATATTTCGTTTCTAATGTGTCACTAGGCCATTGCTATGGTAACCCAGGTGGTTGCTAAGGTGTTGCAAGGTCATTGCTAAAAATACTTCTAATTAACTGAAACTGATTCGGCTCAGAATATTCCATTGACTAACGTTAGTAATTAGATTTAGAAACCTTTGTATTATAGGGGAACGTTAGCTTATTCTTATTCTTTTACGCTGAAGGAATGTAACATTTTGCTACCGTGGAAAGCTAAGTGACGATTTTATCCTTAATTTTAAGACAATCCTTCAGATTTGACTTCTTTTAACTTTCACTATGTGCTCACAAAGTTAAGTTGTTAACTTGCTTTTGGTTGGAAGTCAATTTGAAACATAAACGCTGACAGTAAGAATATTTGTCAATGTTTTTTTTATTGTCAACATTATCGGTAATGTCAAGCCAATGTCTGCCGATGGATTAAGCTAAATAATTCTGCTCGAAACTGTTGCAAACCACGACAAACAATTCCACAAGTCTGTTCTGTAGCACTTTTATGAACACCGCCCTTAAACAGCGCCTTAAAAAGAGCAGTTTGTGATTGGTCGCTTCGCATGTCCGTCTACTGGCCTGTAAAAGTGGGTGGATCTCAGACACACTGAGTGATGAAACACACCGAAGTTGCTGCTGAAAGGCCCTTTGCTTCTGATATATGATATAAAACCAGAATACAGTGCAGCAGCGTTAAAATGACAAAGACATCCCGACCTTCAGCATGAAGATAACATGTTATAGCACAGACAACCTTGATGTGAAGAAACTTGATGAAAAATATTTTAAAAACAGGCGCTAACCAACAAAGGCCAAGCACATTTCTATGAATTCCAGCGCTACAAAATAAATATATTCATTATTTTTAAGAAAGCATGTGAAAATATTTAAGTACCTCATGTAATTTTGTGTTGTAATTACTTTAAAGGTTTAATTACACTGATATTAAAAATAATCGCCTCTCTCAATAACAGAGCTATCTTGCTGCTAAATGATGCGGGTTTTCAAAGCGAGTTTCCGCTGCTTTTTGGACAGTTGAGAAATGTAAAATTGTCCAAATTTCTTGGTTCCTAATATCAGTATCGGATAAAAAGTTCATACTGCCAGTGTTGTTCAGATCATTTTCAAGGAAGAGCATTTATTAAGAGCTAAATATGTGATAGATCGGCCAATAATCCATCAGGCCACTGTTATCAGTGCTGTCTGATTAACTTGACTCTCAGAGTGTAATCCAACACGAGCAGGAGTCTGTATTACAGCCCAGGTGATTTAATGGATCAAACAGTGCTGGACGTGTCTGTTTCTAGGGCGCTGTAACTTAATATCAGCACTAGTACTGCTAACTGTGTCACTGGAGGCTCACATTACTGTTAAAAACACTGCGGCACATGGTGACTTAAGGATTTTCTCAAAATTCCTGCATAATTAAACGGTTAAGATGTAAACAGCGTCGTTCAGAGTGGTTTGGCATGAAAATGGATTATTTCAGATTTTCCACTATTTTCCCATCATCAACATTCCATGCAAAAACTTCGGCCAAAAGATAAAAAAGGCCAGAAATTTGGTCTAAAAAGGCAAAAGATTATACAGGTCTGCAGTGTAAATCTAACACTTAATATCTTACACTAATCTGAATGGTCAGCAGATCAACAGTGAAACTCTGTACGCTCATAAAATACACACTTTTATTATTAACTGATTTAATAAAACTGTTTAATTAAATTGCTTATAGCGCTCCCTGCTGGAGAAACTTCAGAGTTTCAAAGCCACGCCCACCTGCTTTACATATTGAAAAGCGGGGTGTTTCGCATTATTGCAGTGGAGCTTTGGGAACCAATGCATGATCATATTTTGGTACTTTTACAACTTTCATATTTTATATTATTTAACTGCTTAACATTACATTAGTCCTCTAGTTCTCTTTCAAAACATGGTGATTATTGCAGGTGAAGCACAGTCTGTGTTATTCTGTTAATTCAAAAGCATAAATAAAACAATAAGAACAAAATTCTACAATTGTTTGCAAAATTCCAGTCAAATTCTGTGTTTCGCTGATTTAAGTCAAAGAATGTTAAGACATCTTCTACAGTGAACACACCTCTGCACATTTTAATGCACAATTACTGTTTATTTACTGAATTTAACACTTTGGGGAAAAATAGAGTGCAAAAGCAATGGCACATTTTACGTCATGCTTTATTTTTTCAATATGATAAACTCAGCAGATAAATAGAAACGTTGAGTGTGTCTCTGTAGAGGATGTGTTCACTTATTTTCACTCAGAAAATCTATAGAACACGTCATTTGTCCAGGTGATGGTCAAGCTTTTCGGTTTGGGGCTGAGTGAGTTCTGAACTTTGGTTTCAGTTACGGTCAAGAATTTTCATTTTGGTGTATCACAACTACGTGTAGGTTCACTGGTGGTTTTGGATACTAAATAAAATGTCTATATTTGTGTTGTAGTCATGGCGCCCCCTGGTTCCTATCACCACCACTGTAAAGACATCTGAACCATTTCACACCAAACCACTCCGAATCACTCTGAATATATGCAGAAATGAGAAAATTTGAAATATCAGTGGAATTCCCCTTCAACTATAGAGTATACAGGTTGGATACAATGAGTGGAGGATAAATAACCCATAAAAAATGTCCTGAAAGTGAGATGTAGCGCAGTAACGCTGCAGCCTGTGGTGAGGTTAGGGGCACACATGGTGCATTATCTCCATACTTCACACTTCCTGCTGTGGGCCTTGTTTCCCAGCAGTTCCTGAGCGCGCGTATGATTAATCGGATCGTTGCTCTACAGCAGCGGAAGCACTTTTCCTCTGAAGCTTATAAAGTTCCCCATCTCCACCCGGATCTCGCTAACTTTCTCCTCAGCGGTAACGCGATAGAGCAGCCAATATAAACCTGCTTCCTTCTCATAAACATCAACACATCCTTCGCTCTTCTGTGCTGTTCTACACCTCGCAGAGCCTCGAGGGGCAAAAAGAGACGTTTACAGTTACACAAAGTCCGGAAATCACAACCTTACAGTGTTAAGAAGCATTAGCATAGCATTAGTCAGGGGCTAGCAGGTATGGAATGTTACACAGTGAGGAGAAATGGAGTAGAGTTAGTGGTCAGAGTTACACTAGAGCTTTTTTACATCATCACAAACCAGCAGCCGTCAGAGCTTTAAACCAGCATGAGCTCCAAACACCTTCAAAAGAACTGTATTCTGAAAACTGAGCAGCTGGAGGAGTCGCCCGAGTGTGTCACTGTACAGTAAACTACCACTCAACAGTAGCGTCAGGGTTCCCTACTGTACAAAACAGATTAGTTCCTGAAAAGTATAACATTATTCTATAAGGCGATCACTCTGTAACTATACAGGTCTCAAATAATTAGCGGGAAGCTGAGCGAATCAGAGTGAAGTTCTAATAAAATTAACTTCCAGAAAGAAGTTCTATAAAACACATATCTATAATAAAGTTCTGATAAAATGAACATCCACAGTGAAGCTCTACTAAAATTAATACAGAATGAATTTCTAATAAAATTAACATTCAGCATCATGATCTGCCAAAATTAATACCCAGAATAAAGTTCTAATAAAATCAACATCCAGAATGAAATTCTAATAAAATATCATTCAAAATAAATGCTTTATTACATTGTATTACACTGTAATTGTAGTTTATTATGTATCATTTAACAACTCAAAATACAAAATAAAAGAGCTAAAATTGATGTATATAATACCTAAAAATATACGCTATAATTGTCTATCAAACAAAAAAAATCATTTAAAGCTCTGAGTGGTCGAGTTCTAGACATCAGAAACCCTTTATTATCTACAATCTCAGCGTCATTAAAGTCCTCACCTCTCTGTGACGTCCTCAATCCTCTGGCTGTTAAACGGCATGAAGTTGGGGGTGTGGCTATGGCAGGGGGAGGCGGGAGCAGAGGCGGGGCCTTTGCCGTTTTGAAGCGAGTGTCTGCGGCTCCGCCTACGCTCCAGGCCCCGCCTCTCCAGCGTCCCGCACACACTCGCCCTACGGCGGTCCTTCCGGCCCACTGGAGGTGGAGCCGTCTCATCATCACCATCCTCATGACGAAGAGCCATCTGGGAGATAACGAGCACAATCAACTCAGGGCAAGCAGGAATTATGAACGATTATTTCTATAATTGGTTTAAAATGGATTATACTTGACTTTTAATCGACTCAACTATTGATTATTCTCAATTTTCTTTTTGGGTGCAATGAAATAATAGAAGCCATATCGCCCCCTACACTTCCTGTAGTGTATTACAGTCTGTCAGAATGACTGTGTGGATCATATGAACATTATAGAGGCTTTTTAAATGAAACACTAGAAGCCATATCGCCCCCTACCCTTCCTGTAGTGTATTACAGTCTGTCAGAGTGACTGTGTGGATCATATGAACATTATAGAGCTTTTTAAATGAAACAGTAGAAGCCATATCGCCCCCTACACTTCCTGTAGTGTATTACAGTCTGTCAGAATGACTGTGTGGATCATATGAACATTATAGAAGCTTTTTAAACGAAACAGTAGAAGCCATATCGCCCCCTACACTTCCTGTAGTGTATTACAGTCTGTCAGAGTGACTGTGTGGATCATATGAACATTATAGAGCTCTTTTATATCTGTCATACAGTAAAGGACGTCAACATTTTACATTTCACTGCAGCCCTACATGCTACATTATTATAATTAATCAAATTACATGTTATAACTGACATTTCCACATCATTTTGGAACAACACTCAGTCTTTATACTACCTAATTTGAAGTGGACTAGCAGTGTTCAGTATCATATGGCAGTGAGAACAGACCTGCTGTAATGAAAGTGGTGTCAGGTGTCTCAGAGCAGGGCTCTCTGATCACTCTGTATGTCTAGCTGAGGGAGCACTAACCTCGTAGATGTTAAACTGCTCCAGCAGGTCCAGGTCAGTGCCCTTCCTATTCAGGTGCCTCTGGCCAATGGTCTCGATACCCTGCTCCTCCAGACAGTCCACCACATCATAGAATGAGTCCTGATCTGGAAGACCTGCAAGCGTCTGCAAAAGAAAAGAGACAAAGGATATATATATATATATACGATAACCTCGTATTTGTTTTTCTGTTATTGACATAATATGAAAATGCCTGTTGCCCTTTATAATGTAAGTCAATGGAACCAGACTTTCAGACTTACTTCCAAGTCATTTTGGGCCGTTTCTTTTGGTCCATTCATCATGAAATTTACACATAATATTAAGGGCAACAGGCATTTTCATATTATGTCAAAAACAGAAAAACAAATATGAGGTTACGAGGTTTTCTTCTGACAACAGCGATATATTTAACTCCTACTGTCTATTCCACCCTAACCGGTACAGTATATTTACATTGTGACACATGATTTTAATAAGGTTACTTGGATAATAACAGCTTTACGGTAATTCCTGAATAATTTTTAGAAGCTCCTGACCAACAAATCTTTATTATTCCAATTTTTATTCATATTCAAACTTCAGATTTCTTACATATCAGCTGGTGCACTGACCTTGTTGATGAGGGTCATGACGTACACCAGCAGCTCAGTGTCCACTCCGTCCTTCTCATCCAGAATCTCCATGGCATTGGACCACAGCTTACAACCTGCAATGATGACCTTTAATGAGTATATGAGCAACCACCTGGAGCACCACAGCAACGATTTCCATTACATTTGTGCATATATGGTGTCTGGCCAGACCCTAGCAACTACTTAGTAAATCCCTAGGAACCACCTGGTATAGCAAAGCAACTGCCAGGCCACGCCCTAGCAACCACCTAATAACATCCTAGCAACCTCCTAGTAACACCCTAGCAACCACCTGGGAGAGCAAAGCAACTGCCAGGCCACACCCTAGCAACTACCTAGTGACACGCTAGCAACCCTAAAGTAACACCCTAGCAACTACCTAGTAACACCCTAGCAACCACTTAGTAACACCCTAACAACCACCTAGTAACACCCTAGCAACCACAAAGTAACATCCTAGCAACCACCTGGGATAGCAAAGCAACTGCCTGGCCACACCCTAGCAACCACCTAGTAACACCCTAGCAACCACAAAGTAACACTGTAGCAATACCAAGGAGTTGCTTAAACTGTGTAATGACTCTGCATCTCCAGAAATACATTTTTCTCATTTTTCATGTTGCGGTAACACCACAATTTCCTGCCAGTAAATAAAGTGTTTTATTTAATATTTTTGTGAATGCACATGTGGAAAATGGGCAGAAGATCACAGTAAACAGTGTTCTAGACCCTGTCCTGTCTTCCCTTCTCCCTCTCTAATACTCTGATCTTTACTTTCTTTATTTTTAGACGTTTTAGTCTCGCATAGAACTCCAGTTTATTGACATTACAAATGACTTCATTTCCAAAGCCAAAAAACAGAGCATTACAGGGGCCTCCTTTCATGTAAACTGCACTTAAGTGAATATATAGAATGACTGAGATAATAACAAACAGCTGTGATCATCACAGCCTGTTTCTTTTATGTCTCTCTGCAGGTTAGTAAGCTGTGCTGATCTGCAGGTAACTCGACCCCACCAGGGGAGAGAGAGAGGGAGTCTATTACGATAAGCCTGCACTCACACACAGAGCTGAAATTCCACTTAGGCTTTCACACCAGGGCCCCGGGAGGAAAGTGAGCTCAGACTCAGGCAGTATGCCCACCTGAGTGTAATGCCAATGTAAAAAAGGGCCAAAAATTTTTCTCTTATTTTTTCCACTGTTTACATTTGTGCCATAAACTTTTAGAACTCCCTAGCATGACCGATACCCTAACAACCACTTGGAATGCCATAGCAACCACCCATCAATACCCTAGAAACCACTTAGCAACACCCTAGAAACCATGAGAGATACCATAGTAACCACTTTAGCAATCATCTCCTATACCACAGCAACCACAGAGCAACTACTTAGCAACATCATAAAAACCATGTGACAACACGACAAACCCCTAACCACATCCTAGCAACTACCTGGAACACAGTAGTAACCACCTAGCAAATATGAGAGATACCACAGTAACTACTTAGCAATACTCTAGAAATCACCTCTAATGCCATAGCACCCATACAGCAACACCCTAGCAACCAGTTGAAATAACGTTGCAACCATATAATAATATCCTGGCAACCACCTGGAACACAATAGCAATCACCTAGCAACACCCTAGCAACCATGACAGATACTATAGTAACCACTTAGAAATACCCTAGCAATCACCTCCTATACCACAGCAACCACAGAGCAACTACATAGCAACACCCTAGCAACCACTTGGAATACTGTAGCATGCGCCCAACAATACCCTAGCAACCACATGGAACTCAACAGTAACCACCTAGCAACACCCTAGCAACTATCAGAGATACCTTAGTAATCACTTAGCAATACTCTAGCAATCACCTTCTATACCACCGCAACCACAGAGCAACTACATAGCAACACCCTAGCAATCACTTGACATACCACAACAAACACCTAGCAACACCCTAGCAGCCACCTGGAACACAACAGCAACCACCTAGCAACACCCAAGCAACCATAAGAGAAACCATAGTAACCATCTAGCAATACCCTAGCAATCACCTCCAATCACACAGCAACACCCTAGCACCCACTTAGAATACTGTAGCAAGCGTCTAACAATACCCTAGCAACCACATGGAATTCAATAGTAACCACCTAGCAACACCCTAGCAACCATGATAGATACAACAGTAACCACTTGGCAATACCCTAGCAATCACCTGCTTTACCAGAGCAACCACTGAGCAACTACATAGCAACACCCTAGCAACCACTTGGAACACAACAGCAACCGCCTAGCAACCATGAGAGACACAATAGTAACCATCTAGCAATATTCTATCAATATTTTATATCACAGCATCCACACAGCACTGAACAGTGAGTCTGCAGAAAATCGCAGTGTGACCCCCCCCCCACACACACCCCCACCCCCCACACACACTCCCACTGCTTGTTAGCTCGTAGCTCCAGTGCTACAACTACAGATGCAGACTTCACACCCCAAACCCGTTTGGTCAGATCGTCTACGTTTGGGCTAAAGAGGAAGACAACGCACATTTGATTTGTTGTCACACCACTGCTTGCAGTGAACAGCTCATTAACATGCTCGTTAAGCGTTACCTCGTTTGGTGTCCACAGCACTCACAGCCTGGATGAGCAGCGCAGCGTTGGGTTCCGTGTACTCCACAAACACCAGCAGCAGCTTCAGAGCCGTCTTAACCACCAGACGGAACTGCACACAGACAGAGGAAACACTGCTACTGTAATCTCTCACCAGCTGAACGATCCTCCGTCCACACGCACTGCAGCACCTTCAGACGCAGTGAGGCAGGACAGCCAGCAGGGCACTTCGAGGAATATTCATCATCTGCTTAAAGGAACACTCTGTATTCTCCAACCTGATCTCCACCTGCTGAGCGTGTATCACCACTGGCAATCATTTCAGCACAGTGAGTGTGTTTACATGCACTTAATAAGCCGATTATTATCAGATTTCTGCATTATCTGATCACTAAGTGGTGGTGATTAAAGTTTAGGGGGTTATTCAGTGCATGTATACCCTTACTCTGATTTCTTTCATTTAGCAAGCACTTAGCAACACCCAAGCACCTAAAATACCCACAACTGAAGGCAAAAACGTTCTGGACTTTGGATGTAAAGTAATGTAGCCGGTGACCAGCTTTCTGAAGTGAAACCCAGGGACATTTCCAGTTCAGTGGTCAATGTTTTATTAAAATAGCCAATGTTTTTATCTATGAAATAAAAAGGAGAGCAGTTGTAGTGTCCTGTATTTAGACCATGGTAACTGCTGTACTGCAATAAACTATGATGAAGGCCGACTGATAAAACTGGGTACTAACTACTAACTGGGTACTAACTTTGTAAGCCGTGTTGGAAAATCATACAGCAGCCACGAGGGAGAGTGAGGCTAAACTACTGAACCCTCAGTAAAGAAAATGGTCGAACTACAGCGGTTCAGTACAGCGTCTTTCAGAAGTGAGGAAGTGAGACAGTTTAAAAAATGATGCACTATTTCTGGATCGCATGGTGGCTACATTCAAGTAGACTGTCTGTACAAATCAGAGCCCACCAATCAGCTGGTAGAGCGATTCAGTCCTGTAACTCCACCCCTGCTTAAACCCCTGAGTCACCTCGAGTCCTGAAAAGACGTTTGTGGTGATGTTGTGGACTCAGTGGACACTTGTGAGCTTCTGGTGGAGTTTTACACAGCAGTGTTCTCTGAAACTGGGCGAGCGAGTGGTAGAAGAGGTCAGTAGCAGCAGCAGTGGCCCCCCCTGCTGGCCAAAACATGCGTGAGATGTCTGCCCACCCGCTCTGCTGCAAGTCTTTATTAGGACTTTCCATTTCTTATCTTTACAGAAGCAAATCTGATCTTAATTTAGGAATCTTATCTGATCTTACATCGTCCTATCTACCTTTCTTAGCTAAGAAATCTTAACCTACCTGATCGAATTCAACAATCAGGTGTCATGTCTGTTTCCTAGCAACCAACCATAAACACACGTAATCAAACTAATCAAGCTAGGTAGCCAGGCAGCTAGCTACCATTACAAAAATAAGGTCAAACAGAACTAAAGTGTGATAAACTGTGAGTAGTGAATACTGTGAGAGCGCCCCCTGCTGTTTATCAGAGTCTCCATTTCCCAAACGCTTTAGCCGAGCGCGCTAACGTTACTCCTCCTAATAAACAGACACACGTTCAGCTCCGTCTCCTCCTTATTCACCACCATCACTGTAATATTTCATCATCAACATTAACACACGAAGGTGATCAGAGGGGCGGTGGAGATCGAGTCTGCAGCGTCTGAGATCTTTAAAACGCAGAGTTAGAAAAGAAAATCATCTCACAGTGAAAGCAGCGTTTTACAGTAGAGATAAATGGAGCTCATTATGCTGGTAGTGAACTATGCTGCTGACTCAGCTGCCTAAAAACCATAGAAACGGACCTTAAACAGAAGTGAGGACCCTGTTGGGGTTCATCCTAAAGTTAGGACAGGATTTAGGAGGTTTAGTCTAGTTAGGATGTTTGTGTGATGCTGTTTTCTTATCTGGAGTTCATGATGAGGTTATGAAGGTAGGAACTGATATTCTGGAATAGATACTGTCTGAAATTCAGTCTGGACTGAAGTCGTCATGGAGACCAAACAGATAAGATTTCAGACTTGAGAAGTTTCTGTAATACGGCTCCTGGTCGCCATAATGTTTTGGTCCATTCATCATAAAATTTTCACACACTGTAAAGGACAGCTGCCCTTTTTAAATGAAGAAAATTAAAAAATCGATAAAAACTGAGATACATGTCTCGTTTTGTGACAGTGATGGTGTGATGATGAATAACGACGGCAGGACGAACAGGCCAGTGTCTCCTGTTTATGCTCGTCGTGATCAGTCCTCCAGAAGCTTCCAGGGAGGTTTCACTACTTAGAAACAGCAGCAGCCAGAAGAAAGAGCAGCGGCTAATTTATAAAACTGTCAGCTGTGGAGCCTCTGTAAAAAAATACATGGGAGCGCTACTGTCCAACAACAATACACTCACATTCTCAGGAGGAGCAGGAAGAGAAGGAGGAGAAAAAGGCAGAGGAGGAGAGAAGTATCAAAGGAATTCCGGAAAACTGACTAAAGAGAGAAAGATAGACGAGACACGATGAAAGAGACAGAGAGAGAGAGAGAGAGAGAGGAGAGAGAGAGAGAGAGAGACAGAGAGAGAGAGGGAGAGACAGAGGGAGAGAGAGAGAGAGAGGGAGAGGGGGAGAGAGAGACAGAGAAAGATAGAGAGAGAGAGAGGGAGAGGGAGAGAGAGAGAGACAGAAGAGAGAGAGAGAGAGAGAGAGAGAGAGAGAGAGAGACAGAGAAAGAGAGGGGGGGAGAGAGAGAGAGAGAGAGAGGAGAGACTGAGGGAGAGAGAGAGAGAGTGGGACAGAGAAGAGAGAGAGAGAGAGAGAGAGGGAGAGGGAGAGGGGAGAGAGAGAGAGAGGGCAGAGAGAGGAGAGAGAGAGAGAGAGAGAGAGAGGAGAGAGAGAGAGAGAGAGAGGGAGAGGGGGAGAGGGGGAGAGAGAGAGAGAGACAGAGAAAGAGAGAGAGAGAGAGAGAGGGGAGAGGGGGAGAGGGGGAGAGAGAGAGAGAGAGAGAGGGAGAGAGAGAGGGGGGAGAGAGAGAGAGAGGAGAGAGAGAGAGAGAGAGGGGGAGAGGGGGAGAGAGAGAGAGAGAGACATGGTCTGTGTTTAATAATGTGAATTTAGCTCCGTCTTGATGAAAACCATCCAGAACATGTGACCTTCACAGGCACAGAGAGAAGAGTCTGTTGGTGAATCAAACTGCGGCTCTAAAGTTTGGAATCACTTGGCAAAAACTTGAAAAAAAAAGGTTTTGTTACTTTACATGCAATAAAAACATAATGTGGATTTTAATAATATAAACAGGTCAACAAAAAGAAACTTTAAGTGTTTTGTTCAATGTTTCACTTATTTTTGGAACAACATAATTTTAAATTATGAATAATAATGAAATGATAAATAATTAATACTGTAATGATCTACAGTAATTTATTGTCACAATATCTGCCTTGAAGTCTAGTCGTCACTTTCAAAATATGAAACATTCTGGATATTCGTGTTATTGAAAGTTCATTCTTGACGTTCTACAGCTTTCTCAGTGATCTGTAACAGCTCTGTTCATTCTGACATCCATCACACCGTTCACACGTTTACAAAAGTGAGTCTTAACCTTTCAACCATGATTTGTTACATTTGAACAGTGATTCACCACTTTTGAACAGTGATTCACCACTTCTGATCAGTGATTCATCACTTTTAAACTGTGATTTTTAACTTCTGAACAGTGATTCATAACTTTTGATCAGTGATTTGCTACTTTTGAATAGTGATTAGTAATTTTTGAACAGTGATTCCTCAAAATAAGCTCATACATCTAAAATGTTTCAGAGCCAACTCTGCTGGTGTCAGTTTAACAGAGTTTTAACTGAATCTTCAGTTGTGTCTGCGCTGCGTAATAAACTGTTCCTGTACTGTAACTGAAGGTGAATCGTTTCTCACTGTAAGCGCTGATTTTGTTTCAGTGGCTCTCGTAACTGAACATCTGCTCCAGTCGCGTCTGCCGCTGACAGAGGAGGTGTACATTTCAGAAGCTAGAACTCAGCACCTGTTCGTTACCAGGCAACTGAGCAAACTTTCATCCCTGATGCTCACTCTGCGTTCACTCTGCATTCACTCTGCGTTCACTCTGCATCACTCTGCGTTCACTCTGCGTTCACTCAGCGTTCACTCTGCGCTCACTCTGCGTTCACTCTGCATTCACTCTGCATTCACTCTGTGTTCACTCAGCATCACTGCGCTCACTCGGCATTCACTCTGCATCACTCTGCGTTCACTCTGCATTCACTGCGTTCACTCTGCATTCACTCTGCATCACTCTGCGTTCACTCTGCATTCACTGCGCTCACTCTGCGTTCACTCTGCATCACTGCATTCACTCTGCATCACTGCGTTCACTCTGCATTCACTCTGCATCACTCTGCGTTCACTCTGCATCACTCTGCATCACTCTGCGTTCACTCTGCATTCACTCTGTGTTCACTCGGCATCACTCCGCGTTCACTCGGCATCACTCCGCGTTCACTCTACATTCACTCTGCGTTCACTCTGCATCACTCCGCGTTCACTCTACATTCACTCTGCGTTCACTCTGCATTCACTGCGCTCACTCTGCGTTCACTCTGCGTTCACTCTGGGTTCACTCTGCATCACTGCATTCACTCTGCATCACTGCGTTCACTCTGCATTCACTCTGCATCACTCTGCGTTCACTCTGCATCACTCTGCGTTCACTCTGCATTCACTCTGTGTTCACTCGGCATCACTCCGCGTTCACTCTACATTCACTCTGCGTTCACTCTGCATTCACTGCGCTCACTCTGCGTTCACTCTGCATCACTCTGCGTTCACTCTGGGTTCACTCTGCATCACTCTGCATTCATGCTGCATTCATTCTGCGTTCACTCTGCATCACTCTGTGTTCACTCTGCATCACTCTGCATTCACTCTGCGTTCACTCTGCATCACTCTGCATCACTCTGCGTTCACTCTGCATCACTCTGCGTTCACTCTGGGTTCACTCTGCATCACTCTGCATTCATGCTGCATTCATTCTGCGTTCACTCTGCATCACTCTGTGTTCACTCTGCATCACTCTGCATTCACTCTGCGTTCACTCTGCATCACTCTGCATCACTCTGCGTTCACTCTGCATTCACTGCGCTCACTCTGCGTTCACTCTGCATCACTGCGTTCACTCTGCATTCACTGCGTTCACTCTGCATTCACTCTGCATCACTCTGTGTTCACTCTGCGTTCACTCTGCATCACTCTGCATTCACTCTGTGTTCACTCGGCATCACTCCGCGTTCACTCTACATTCACTCTACATTCACTCTGCGTTCACTCTGCATTCACTGCGCTCACTCTGCGTTCACTCTGCATCACTGCATTCACTCTGCATTCACTGCGTTCACTCTGCATCACTCTGCGTTCACTCTGGGTTCACTCTGCATCACTCTGCATTCATGCTGCATTCATTCTGCATTCACTCTGCATCACTCTGTGTTCACTCTGCATCACTCTGCATTCACTCTGCGTTCACTCTGCATCACTCTGCGTTCACTCTGCTTTCAATCTGTGTTCTCTGTGTTCAGTCTGCATTCACTTGGCCAGCCTCAGTGTCCAGACTGCTCTGCGGTCTCTATACAGACCACTGGAATGAACCCAGCACACTTATTAGAGTGAAAAACAGAAGCTATGAGTGAAGCTGAGAGTGAAGCTGAGAGTGAAGCTATCAGTGAAGCTGAGAGTGAAGCTGAGAGTGAAGCTATCAGTGAAGCTGAGAGCAAAGCTAAGAGTGAAGCTGAGAGCGAAGCTGAGAGCGAAGCTGAGAGCAAAGCTAAGAGTGAAGCTGAGAGCGAAGCTGAGAGCGAAGCTGAGAGTGAAGCTGAGAGTGAAGCTAAGAGTGAAGCTGAGAGTGAAGCTAAGAGTGAAGCTGAAAGTGAAGCTGAGAGTGAAGCTGAGAGTGAAACTGAGAGTGAAGCTGAGAGTGAAACTAAGAGTGAAGCTGAAAGTGAAGCTGAGAGTAAAGCTAAGAGTGAAGCTGAGAGTGAAGCTGAAAGTGAAGCTGAGAGTGAAGTAATGAATGAGTGTATCGCCTCTGTTTAAACTGTCACACCTGCCAATTCAGCAAAGACAATAACTACTGTGCTTAAAGGAGCAGTACAGCCAAAAACCTAATTCCCCAGATTTCCCCTTTTACCGCAAATGCAGTCCATCAGCCAAGACGCAGCTGGTGTCTCCCCCATTTAGTTTTAGTGGTGGGCCTTCAGTTAATGCAAATTAGATGTTTGGCCAAACTATCGCTTTAATAATGACCTCTGTACCTTTGATCCCACCAGCGTGTAGAGCCACTGCACCGTTTCATTGTGTCCAATCAGCCCGTTCATCCCATCCACATACAGCATAATCTGACCTAGAGCTGAGAGAGAGAGAGAGAGAGAGAGAGAGAGAGAGAGAGAGAGAGAGAGAGAGAGAGACAGAGAGAGAGAGGATTAAAACGTGATTACATGGTTAACAAGGCAGACATATCAACAGACAGACAGACAGACACAGACAGACAGACTGGGGTCACTGGGGTGGAACCCTCCAGGCTCCATCTCAGTACCTTCAGTCAGGGAACATAACTGAACCATAATCCACTGAATGATATGTTCTAAGCTGTACTGACTCCACACACCCCGTCTCGTCTCCAGGCTTTTATTTTACTGTTCTGTTTAAAACATTCGGTTATGAAAAGGTACAAATACTAACTTTTCACCTGGAAACACTTATTTAAGGTTCACAATCAGACCTTAAAACCACTGTTGGAGCTTTGAGGAACATTTACACTGTTTGTACCTCGATGATGAGAACAGTACCTGAACAGAACCTTTATTTCGGAGAGTGTAGACGACGAGGCAAAGAGAGAGAGAAACACACAGGAAGAGTTTGGGCTACGAATAAGAACCCGAACCCCCAGATCTCCTCAGATCACACGACACACAGAGCTGAACTCCACGCAAACTGAGGATGAATCTGTGGTGAGAGGCGCTGAGACACTGAGTGTGTTTACATGACCTCAATAATCCGATAACTGCAGAAAATCAGATTTTGTCAGTAATCTGATCAACACGTTTATATGCACTTGAGTAATCAGATAGTGGGGAAACTCCAGGTCTACATGAGTCAGACAGTAATCAGATTTCTGCTTTGTAACCAGCCAATAAACTCACAGAAGAAGACATGAAGTAAACATAACGTAAAACTCAAACTTCACACCGCGGCTATTTTTAAACATCGCGTCTGATCTCGCGCAGAATGAGAAATCAGATAGAAATCAGAGTCAGAGTTTACATGCACTGAGAAATCTGGTTACTGAGCTGAAATCCAGCCTCTTTATCGGATTTCTTAATTGGATTTCTAGATCGGAGTATGGTGTTTAAATGACCATTTGAATAATCGGATAACTGCAAAAATCTGATTATGATCGGATTAATGAGTGCATGTATACACACTCAGCTGGCAGCTGAGCTGGAACAGTAGAGAGACATTATAAACATGATAAACATGATAAATATTATAATCACGATAATCGTGATATCGGCTCTTATCTGCCTGCGTTTTACTCCCAGCTCCTCTGTCTCCGCTCCGCTGTTCAGGCTCGTCTCTCCTCCTTTCTCTCCGCTCTTCCAGCTCTCTGATTGGCTGTTTGAATCACTCACTGAGCTCATCTCTGACCGTCTGTCACTGCAGGACTCGTGAACGTTTTGAGTCGTGAATATTAAACATGTCTGATAATATCGGAGCGTCTCTGATCACTGATCACAGTTCGATCGTAGCACTAAAGATTCACTCATTTCACAGCGTCAGTCGCTTCCGACTCGAAAATCGCTTCAGACTGTGAAAATCTGCCGTCAAATCCTGCCGTGCAGGCGCAGCTTAAGACACCAATGTTAAGTATTTTCTTTGGGTTATTCTCGCCAAGGTGACAAATACAGCGACCTGCTAAAATTAAAATTTATTTTTTATTTTTTTGGACATACAAACAGTGACACCTGGTGGCATCATCAAAAATAAACCTGAAGGATTTAACAGATGCTGAATAAGTGACATTTTCCAGTTTAAGTGAACAAATTCTCATCACCGCAGCCGAGTACAGTTTGATGATCAATCTGTAAACGTTTATTACGACATTCAGGCATTTTTGAGGACAGTCTTGCGTCTGGTGTTTGGCTGAGGGAGCATCTGAGGATCCGAGCGAATGATTTAAACCCCAAAACATCAGAACGATCCAGAAATGAGAGTCTGGACGGGTTCTGCTGCAGCTGTGAGAGACGAGCTGAGGACACAATGAGGCCGTTTGATAAAGAACATACCTAAACACTGAGAACATCACACGCAGAGCAGAGTCAGCTCTCCAACAGCCATCAGCTCCGACTACAGTTACACTGTGCTTTAAACTTTCACTCCAATAATAATAATAATAATGATAACAATAATAATAATAATAATAACTTTGCTTATATAGCACTTTTCATACATTAAAACTATGAGAAATAATAACTAAAACCTAAAAAACAATAAATAACAACAACAAAAAAACAACACTGAACAAAGAGGAGATCTACATAGAACCAAACAAAAACATTAATTGGCTTGTAACAACAGTAGAACCCCTTTGTAGGTGCTATACAGAACCATTTTTCAAAAGATTTCTTAAAGAACCTACATAAAAAGAACATACAACAGGTACTTAATCACACTGAAGAACCATTCAGCCATGCAAAGAACCATTTAAGCACTTAAAAAGGTTCACCATGATAATGTTCTAGATGATTCTATTGAACTGGAGTCAGAGCTGAAACACGTTTGGGATTTTTAACTGATCTTAGACTTCAGACTAAAACCCTTTTTCTCTGAGTGACTCTAAACCTTAATTATGATTACTTTATTAAAACTAATTACTGAACATTAAAAACAATCATAACTCTACACACACTTTACCAAGTGTTTCAGTAGTGACTGTTTCAGTAGTGACTGTTTCAGTAGTGTCTGTTTCAGTAGTGACTGTTTCGGTAGTGTCTGTTTCAGTAGTGACTGTGTCAGTAGTGTCTGTTTCAGTAGTGTCTGTTTCAGTAGTGACTGTTTCAGTAGTGACTGTTTCATTGACAGTTTTAGCTCATTTTGAGCTCAGAAACTCAAACTCAGCTTTGAACAGCTGTTCACACAGAAAATCATCATATTTATCATTAAAACACTAAAAAGATGAAAATCTGTGTTTCGGTAGTGACGATTCTAATGTTCCACACTGATTTTCAGACTTCGGGACACATTTACTTCAAAACAGATCTACCTGCTCACCATGTGGCCATGAGGGACAGGGATGCAGCCTCACTTCCTGCTCTGAAATGCAGGGGCGTGGCTACAATAAGGCCCCACCCACAGATTAAAACTCTGTGTTTCGGTAGTGACATGAAAACGTGGGATTTTTAAAATATGTTTTTCATTTAAAAATTAAACTTGTGACAAATATAAATCGTTCTACTTCAAAAGACATCAAAAAAGAAGTAATTAAAAAAAAACATGAAACAAAAAAAAAAATGCAAAAAAAAATGTAAGCATTATTGTCACAAGTGTAAATTTAGGGGTCAGGGTTTCAGACAGACTCCTCTCAATAGAAAGAGCCCTATAAATGATTACTGTGTATTTAGTTTAGTACGCTCTCTTTTAATGCCCTTGGTTTAGACAGTTTAGAACATGATCACTGTAAATATCTAAGATCTGAATACTCACTGTTTATATATATAAACATATATATATATATATATATATACACACATTGTTTATGTGTACATTTCTGGCCTTAAACTGTACATGCATTCCTACACCAAGCATGAACATCAATGCTTTGCAAACATATTTCTGCGCATCATTGCATTCGTCATTATTCAAAGGGAATGCATGCTGCATTCTGAGTGTTGCAGCAGGGGGGCGCTATAGTGATATATATATACAAACACTTTTCAGATCTATACAGTAGATCTCATTTAAAGACGCTCTGATTTGTCCTCTATCGCCCCCTTGAGTGCAGGATGGTGCACTAGCAGTACGTTAGCTGCAGGTTGTCACTGCGCATTCCTGCGCTGAGGTCGTTTCTGGCCCTAAGCTGTGAGAGTCAGTGCAATCCAAGCAGCTGGATTATTAATAGCCGTTCTGAGGACAAGTGGAAAAATCATTAGTGTGTCCCGACTCAGCACTGACACTAAAACCCATTTGGTGAAGCTCTAAACTCCCATTTCAGTCTGCACTCAGATCCTATACAGCATCGGCTGGCACTCAGCACAACCTCCAGTTTTCACCTGGAACTATCACTTTAATCCCTGGAACTATCACTTTAATCCTTGAAACCATCACTTTAATCCCTGAAACTACCGCACTGGTGTTACAGAACCTTCCTCTCTTTTAGTCCTAAATTAAGATCTGACAGGCCAAAATAAGATTATTCATAGATTCATATTACAGAATCAAATCTTATCTTAATTTAGGAATCTTATCTGATCCTACAGCATCTTAATCTCCAGTTAGGAAATCTTAACCTACTCGATCAGAGTCAACAATCAGCTGTCATGTCTGTTTAGCAACCGACCATAAACACACAGCTGAAATGTAAACACGTCATCAGAATAATGTTAAAATGTGAGTTCAGCTGCTGTTACTGATGTAGAGATGGTCAAACAGAACTAAAGTGTGATAAACTGTGAGTAGTGAATACTGTGAGAGCGCCCCCTGCTGTTTATCAGAGTCTCCATTTCCCAAACGCTTTAGCCGAGTGCGCTAACGTTACTCCTCCTAATAAACAGACACACGTTCAGCTCCGTCTCCTCATTATTCACCACCATCACTGTAATATTTCATCATCAACATTAACACACGAAGGTGATCAGAGGGGCGGTGGAGATCGAGTCTGCAGCGTCTGAGATCTTTAAAACGCAGAGTTAGAAAAGAAAATCATCTCACAGTGAAAGCAGCGTTTTACAGTAGGAATAAATGGAGCTCATTATGCTGGTAGTGAACTATGCTGCTGACTCAGCTGCCTAAAAACCATAGAAACGGACCTTAAACAGAAGTGAGGACCCTGTTGGGGTTCATCCTAAAGTTAGGACAGGATTTAGGAGGTTCAGTCTAGTTAGGATGTTTGTGTGATGCTGTTTTCTTATCTGGAGTTCATGATGAGATTATGAAGGTAGGAACTGTTATTCTGGAATAGATACTGTACTAAATTCAGTCTGGACTGAAGTCGTCATGGAGACCAAGCAGTTCAGACTTCAGAGTTTCTGTAATTTGGCCCTGGTTCTGTTATTTATCTGGTCATGTGCACAAGATGGAAACGTTTTTCTTGAATTTGTGCTTCTCTCCCGGTTCTCCTCCTGTCCTCTTCTC